TGGAAAGACCAAATAAAATCTAAATACTCTTTATAAACTATCTGATTAAATAAGCACACAGTCAAGTACTAAGAAATCATGAAAAATAGGGTAGATTTCTACATGGGACTGTAACATATATCAAATAACTTGATTTCATGGGAAAATTCGAAGTACAGTAGGATTTCATGTGTGAGAGGTAGTAAAATACAAATGTATGAATAATATATAGGAAAAAATGAATGGCTTCAAAATAATTCAGGAGGGTTGTCATTTTGAGATAGATCAAGGTAATGAGCGGAGAGGAAGACTATTCTCTTTTGGATTATTTGAATGTTTAATTTATTCATATAGTATTATTAGTTCCAAAAACAAAAAATATTCCCATTTTCTAAAGTGAAAATATTGTCAAAGACACAATTAAAAATAAGCCTTAGGAACAACATTTTTACAAAGAAAAACAAGAGAAATGTGTAAAAATGATTGAAACAGTGAAAACTTAAGGGAAAACGAGCTCTCTCTACATGCTAATTAACTCAGCCAGGGTTTTGAGAACATGTTCTATTATATGTTCTATTATATTGCTAAGCGATGGGGTCTCTGTCCTGTCCTTTTTTATTTACTTTCATCTTACCCAATGGCTCTCTTGGCAACTGACCCCAACAGCCAGGGCTGCCGGCTGCGGTTTGTGTCAGGACTCCAAACATGCTGGAGCCATCGTCAGCTGCTTCACAGGGCCAGACGCAGAAGAGCCAGGATTCAACCAATACTCAGGTAAGGGGTGCAAGCAGCTTAACCCACCGCATCAAAGCCTGTTCCATCTCTGTTTATCTATTTGCTCGTTTATTTATTTAAAAGACAGACTTGGGAATAGCCAGAGATCATTCATCTGCTGGCTGATTCTCCCAAACAGCCACACTGCAGATCAAAGAAGGCCAGAAACTCCATCCGGATCTCCCACACGGATGGCAGTGACCCAAGAACATGGGCCATCATCTGTTACTTTCCCAACCATATTAGCAGGGAGCCGGAAGAGTAGACAAGACTTGAAGCAGGCAGTCTGCAACAGGATGCAGACGTGGCAAGTCACCATACCTGCAATGCTGCTCCCCCACCTTTCCATTTTTCCCCCCAAAAAGTCAGATATAAAAAGAGGAGCAGAGACAGAAAGGAAGCTCTTCCATCCATTGATTCTCCTACCAAGCAGCCACAACAGCCAGAGCTACACCGATCCAAAGCCAGGAGCCCAGAGCCTCTTCCAGATCTCCGATGCAGGTACAGGGTCTCAAGGCTTTGGGCCGTCCTCGACTGCTTTCCCATGCCACAAGCAGGGAGCTGGATGGGAAGCAGGGCCACCAGGACTAGAACCAGTGCCCATACGGGATCCCAGTGCCCGCAAGTGAGGACTTTAGCCTCCAGGCTACCGCACTCGAGGGTCCCCCATCTCCATATTTAAGATGAGAAAACTTGAGACTTGAAACTAAAAATTTTGACTAGTATAGAGCTAGGTGAACTTAAGTGAACTAAGATTTCACTTAAGATAAATCTTATTCTAAAACCTTCACTGCTAAGTTAATAGAACTGAAAAAAGTGTATTTTGGGAAAACAATAAGCTTATTAGGTTTCAAATAAATACACATAAAATACAAATAGTGGCAAAATAAACATCTTAACTGCTAAGAATCGAATGCCTTATTGATTAAAACCGTTTTGAAACTTTAGCTGTCAGAAAATATTATATCACTAAAATGTTAATCAGCAACTCAATTTAGCAATGAAGCAGCAAAAATTCCACCAAAAATATAAAATCTCCAAAACTTAAATGTTTTTTTCTAAGTAAACTCTTTCCATAATAATAACCTTGACTGCCAGAACGTATCTACTACCACACTGCCAGTTCAACAGCACACGTGGGAGGGAAGAACAGTTTGGGAGACAGGCATTGGAACTCCCCTCCCGGCTCCATGTCCTGAGCCATTTCCATTTCCGGACCCTTCTGCACCCATTCTGCCACAATGCTGCTCAGTCACCCCAGCCCTGCTCAAGCAGGCTCAGGTGCAGCCGAAACCACCACTCCAGAAGGCACAGGAGAGGTGCCTCACTGGTGTCAATGGTTCCTTATAGGTCATTAATGGTAAAGGCACCTAGATTCCAAAAAATGTCAAGTACGGACTGCAAAGGCAAAGCTAGCACCGAGCCCCTACTAGATCAATGCCCAGTCCAACTGCAGGAACAGGGCTACCACACTGACAGTATCCTTCCCCGGGTAATACCAAGTGGAGATGTGGGAGTGGCACAGCCCTAGAGTTCACCGAAATGTTCACCAGCATCCAACTCCAGCCTGAGACTCCAACTGTCTTGGCACTGGCGCCAGTAAAGCCATGAATGTGTGGGGCCTTCCACACAACACTCCCCCACCCAGGGTCTGCCCAGCATGCTAGAGGACTCTGGCGTGTATAACACCATATTCTGCTAATAAGGCCCACAGCTGAAGAGGAATTTGTTTCAGGATAAATCTTGCCTTGAGTGTCACTCATCCCTGAATTACATGAGACTCTGGACTTGTATCAATGCTGTCATGAGGTAAGATTCGGGGGACCGACCACTGGGATAGAATATACCGTGCAGTGTGAGAAACATGAATTCTGGAGACCAGCATTAAGTTGCTAGAAACTTCCTACTCAGGACAGCAGCATTTGACGGGTGCAGTCCAGATGAAGAGGTGACCAGCCAGGAAGAGCCTGCCCTCCTGGACGGATTACCATGCTCACGGTAGATGTGAGTTAGCTGGCTGCAGAGTGGCTGTATCAGAAGGACTTTTCAGCCCCCTCTGCTCTCTCTCCTGCTCTCATCCTTCCTCGATGGGCTAATGGATAACACCTTAATAATGGATTTCCCAGCCTCCAAATCAGTAAGATTTCCTTTAAAATTCCCATTCTTTGGCATTCTGTTTTAGCAACATAAAATGAACTAAACCTTCAATGAAAAATCAAAAACACACATGCACGCAGGTGCAACATAATAACAAAGGAAAAAGACATTAAGATGCCAAAGACAAACAAAATACTTCCACAGGCATCCAGCTTATCACAGCACACCAGCTGAAGAAACACTGCAGTCTTACATTTCAAAAAAGAGACAAAAGTAAAAGCAAAATAATAAAACTACCCCAGTAATACTACAGTTCAGGTGTGCTATTAGTAACGTTTAGACTTCTCAAACAGCAGTACTTCTTAGCATGTGCTGTCTACATTAACTGCTTCACACTCTCAATAGATCGAGCCTGTCTCTAAAAAACAGTGTAAAACGGTAAAAGAAAGTGGACTAAGAGTGAAATCATCAGGCAGAAAAAAGCGCAAGAGGCCACCAGGTCTTTCCTGATTCCTGAGCTCAACTCCATTTGACACTCACTGACAAGGACAATTGGATCTCCCTCACAGGTCAAAGCCCAGGTGTGACTGGGAGAACACCTGGAAGCCCCCACAGAACCACGAGCCTAGAGCCAGTCGACCGCCTGCACCTGACCACGGCAGGGTAACTGCCACAAGCTGCAAACAGGAAAATCAGCTACTTAACCAGGAAACTGTTACACAGAATTACATTTTCTAATGCCTTTTTTTATTTTTTTTTTTTGCATCAACGACCTGAAAACAAGCCCCATCACATTCTTCTCCTGTGTCGAGGACACAGCCTTGTGTCATGGCTAGTATCTTCCTCCCACCTAAGTGCGTGCTGACCCCTCTACACGCGTGTACATCCTCCTACCTTTCAAGTCCCAACTCTTTAACGTTTATTAGAAAATCCTAGAATTATCACACAGTTAATCAAACACCAGCATTTTTTAAAATGCCTCTTTCAGGTAGGTAACAACACTACATAGTTTCACTGCTTACTAATTCGACAGCACATCTGAGCTCAAAATCACCCATCCAGCTTAAGTTTAAAATACAAAGTTGCTGCTCAAGAGTGATAAAATTTCACCAGTAAAGTAACCACTTTTTACAAGACATCTGAAGTTACAAATTAATTTTCTTAACATTCCAGCTTCACCAAATACATCTGCGGGGGGGGGGGGGACCTAGGGAACTAAAAAAAGGAAAAACTTGACACCTACTCTTACTGTTTCCTTCAGGGCAACATTTCCTGCAGTACCTAGGTTACACTTGGAATTGCAAGCTTCGCGAACTAAAAAGTCGCCAATCAATAAATAGTAACAAACGAAAAAGTCAAAGCTAGCAATAGCCCTGGCTCCCGAGCACACAGCACGATTGCCTTCCAGGCACCACGCTAAGAGACAGCTTCCACGAACCTGCAGAGGACTGCTACTGACAGCAAACTTCTCGGAGCGTGCAGAAAACTGGGGTTGAAATGCGAGCGTTGGGAAATGCCTACGCTAAACTCTTGATTAAACCTGAGCACGCTACGACGCGGTGGCCCCTTCCCTGCTAATCCTTAGAAAGCGTTTCCTGCCTGGGAAAGTTTGCTCTTTCCAGCCACTCCAGGAAGCCTCAAGCCCGCCCTTCACCTCCCGCCCCGTGCCCACACACACCAACACACCCACCAGGGAACCTCAACACCCGGCACACGCCACTCCACACGGGCACGCACCACACATGTGCCTCCAGACCCAGCCCCTTTCCACACCCCCCGGAAACGACACCCCCCTTTCTCACACTCTGCACGCCACAGCCCATCCCCCTTCCTCCCCGCCCCCACTCCCGTCACCCCCAGTCCACCCACCCACCCACCCACGTTCCCAGGCACCCAGCCTCCCCTCGGCTCCCCGAACTCGCCCGAGGCAAGTGGGGAGGGCAAGCAGGAAGAAGGAAGGAAGGAAGGTTTCAGGCCCGGCCTAGGCCGCCTCCGGAGGTGAGGGGTGGTGGTGGAGGCGAACCCGCCGAGCGGCGCGGCCTCATCCGGCCCCAGGCCTGCCCTCCGCCGCCGCCGCCGCCCCGAGGCCAGGGAGGAAGGCCCCTCCGCGAAACCACCCCCCTGCACCCCCGTTACCCTGTCGTACTTACTGGCCAGCCGGGGTCCCTCGAGTCCTCCGCTGCTGCCTCCCGCGCCGCCGGCGGCTCCCGCGCCCGGGCCGCCCAGCTCCGGCTTCTTGGGCCCCGGGGGCGGCGGCCCGGCACCCCCAGTCCCCGGCACCGGTCCGGACGGAAAGCCGGCCACGGGCGCGCCCGCCAGAGCCAAGGGGACGCTGTTGCTATGGAGGCCGAGGCCCGGGGCGGCCCCGGCGGCGCTCGGGTCCTCATGCAGGAACTGACACTCCTCCCCGTAGAAGCAAGTCTTATCCTTGGCATAGTAGCGGCAGTACTTGAGCTTCACGGCGGCCGCCGCCGCCGCCGCTGCCGCTGCCGCCGCCGCCACCCCGCCGGGGACGCCCCCGGGCCCCAGCGGCGGGGCCACGGCCGCCGCCGCCGCCGCCAGCGAGGAGGAAGAGGAGGAGGACGAGGAGGAGGCGGCGGCGGCGGCGGCGGCCGAGGGGGGCGGGAGGCCGCCGCCACTGTTCATGGCAACGCCGCCGCCACCATAGACCGGGGAGGGAAGGAAGCCGCGGCTGCCGGGGCCCGAGCGACGCCGGGCCGGGTGGGTCTGTCCCGCTGCGGGAGCCGGAGCCGCCCGGGGAGCCCGGGGGAGGGGGAGGGGAGGGAGGAGGGGACGGGAGGGGGAGAGTTGGGATTCTCTCACTCACTCTCTCTCTCTCCCTCTCTCTCGCTCTCCCTCTCTCTTCTCTCTCGTTCTCTTGTCTTAAAGGGGCCGCGCGGGACGCCGGGGCGGGCCCTAGGCGGGGGGGACTCGGAGGGCGCGGGGGAAGGAAGCGGGAGCGGCGGCGGGCGGCCGGAGAGGGCGGCGGGGCTGGTTTATTTTTAAATTCTGCCTCCACTCGTTCTCTCGCGCTCTGGTTCCTCCGAGTTGTTTATGCCATTTTCCTCTTCCTGAGACGGCCGGCGCCCGACGCGCGTGCGCGCCGCGGTGGCTTGTGGGTAGCGGCCGCGCGTGGGGAAGCCCGGCCGGGCGTCGGACCCCCGGGGCATCCGCGAGGCGGCGGTTGGACGGGCGGGTCGGAAGCCCCGGGGCTCGCCGGGCGGGACCACCCCGTACCTGCTGGCTATCTTTTTTTTTTTTTCTTTCCTTGTAAAACCAGGTGTAACTTTTTCAATTGGAAATGACGACAAGCCGCCGGTCCTGTAGAGTGGGCCGTTGGGGGGAGGAGGGACGGCCTCTGCGGGCCACTGGCTCTCTCTTTTCCATTTGTTTCCTCCATTCTCTCTTTTTTTTTTTTTTTTTTTACTCCCTACCTTGCGAAGGTTGGGAGAACTACAGGGCTGATTACCTTCGTTTTTTGGGCCCTTTGTCAGAAACCTGAGCCAAAAACAAAACAAAACAAAAAAGTGGATTTGGACCAACCCCCTGCTCGGCGCGGCACCTGTTTCCTCTGTAGTCCTGTGGCTAAAGGCCCTGGGTGAATCATGAGCAAAAATAAGATGCCATTTGGGGCGGCACGGGAAGGTGTTCTTTATAAATCTGTGAGATTGTTTTTCTCCCATCCGCTTGATGCTTTGAAATTCACTTTCAAAGGGTGATTTCCCGCCCCCCGCCGTCGCTGATGTTTTTGCTGTACTGCATTTTCACCGAAGGGAAGATGGGGCGGGGAAGGAGGCCTCAGGGATTTTAAAGCATTACAATAAAGGGAACTTTTTACCACTTTTAGTTTTTCTCCTTAAGGCAGCAGCTGTTTGTTGGCAGTATGTCACAGGAAATGACAGAAAGTTCCGGAGTTACTACACCGCACAGGGGGAGCGATGCCTGCTTAGTGAAGGACCGGTAAGCCAGGTGCTGTTCCTTAGCAGCGTTGGGAAATAGCAACGTTGTCTCGCGTGTTTCTCTGGAAAAGTAGTTTCACTGATTTCATTATTGGGCAGATATTTATCGAGGGCCCTCCAGTGTGGCGAAAGCTCTGTGAGAAGCTAGAGAAGCAAAAAAGCGAGTAAAACGGCAGCCTTGGTTGAGTTGAGTGGCTCACCTTCTGCTGGGGACGCTATAAAATGCCCAGGGCGGATGTTAAAAGACTTAACTGGGGAAAGTTGGTGCCTTGGGGAGGCGGGGAGAAATGTCATTGAATTCAGCCCTTTGAAACCAAGCGAGTTTGCACTTAGCAGCCTTGGGACTCTTGGCAAGTTACTTCCCTTCGCTGTGCCTCACCTACCCAACAAATTCAGGAGTGCCTGCTAAACAACGTGTAAACCACCCACAGGTGTAAGATGCCCGTGCCCAACCACAGGTGTAAGATGCCTGTGCCCAGACTTGAAAGTAGTGCTGTTAGAGTAATCCGTCGCAGAACTTTATTCATTCGCATAGAAGATACAATGAAGTATGCATCTCTATTCCCAAATAAAAGACGGACTACCAGTGAAAATGATAAATACACCTTCCATCGTCTATACCTACAGTGTCATGATAGACTTAAATAACAATGATGGACTTGTGACTGTTGCTGAAGGACTGTGTGTTTTCTCTGTGTGTATGTGTGTGTATAGGACTATACATATATATATGTAGGGGAAATTAGTGGGGAGAGGGGGAATGCAGAGGGTGGGAGAGGAAATCCCTGAGCCTATGGAACTCTATCATGAAAAATTTTTTTAAAATACTTTAAAAAGAAGGACCCGGCACCGTGGCCTAGCGGTTCAAAGTCCTTACCTCGAACACGCCAGGATCCCATATGGGCGCCAGTTCTTATCCCAGCAGCTCCACTTCCCTTCCCATCACTGCTTGTGGCTTGGGAGAGCAGTCAAGGATGGCCCAAAGTCTTGGGACCCTGCACCCGTGCAGGAGACCTAGAGAAAGTTCCTGGCTCCTAGCTTTGGATCAGCACAGCACTGGTCATTGCGATCATCAGGCATCAGGCATCTTCCTCTCTGTCTCTCCTATTCTCTGTATATCTGACTTTGTAATTAAAATAAATCTTTAAAAAAATTTTTTAGAAATACTTTAAAAACATTCTAGACAAATCATCTTGTACAGAAAGACTCAAGAATAGTAAGGAATTGAGCAGAGACAATGGGAGTCCTTTGAAGGCCAAGATAAATGATTGGGCCTTTTCCTTAAGGCACTTGGAAGTCATGGGTTTTTTTAAAGTAATGTCAAATAATGACATTCAGATTCCACTTCAGGGAAAAAAGCAGCAGCATGTTGACCATTGTAGGAACCCTGGGAATTAAGTAGAGAAGACAGACCATTGTTTTTCCTAAGAACAGACTGGGTAAGTTCTACAGTTCCACAAAATTACACGTCCGGAGTCCTAATTACAAAACCTGTGCTCTGTTACACACGTTGCCATTTTTAACTGAGCCTGTGTCTTCTGTGTCTTGGCAGGAAACTGGTGTTTGTATTGAGACAATAAGGATTGAGTGAATTCATGCCAGATTATGCATATCATTCAAATCCTTGAATATCTGTGCTGTGAAGCAAGCAAGTTATGTACCAGACTCTAACATGCAAAAATGTTTGCGATACAACCCTTCTTCACAGTTTACTGAAAATCATAAGGAAGCCCTGCAGAAATGAAGTAAATCATCCCACAGTACCAAATTTCACAGGTTTTTGTCAAATTCTTTTAAACCAGAAAGAAAAAAAAAACCAAAAGGTGTTACAGTTAGATGAACCAGAAAGAAAAAAAAAAAAACAAAAGGTATTACAGTTAGATGATTTTGGATTCTTTCATTAATTGTAATCCAAATGCGAATAAAACTAGCTTAGGATGTCCTGGACAGTTACCAAAGGGTGTTGATACTGTCAAAATACTCTTGACTGTCCTGCTTTTGGATTCTGCCGCAAGTCTGTTTCTGCAAGAATTTTACGTACTGCCAAGATGAAGAAATAACACCCCTCCGCGGACTTAGCCAACTTGTAGGGATGTGCGGAGGCAGTCAGGACACAGGACGCAGTCAGTGACAGCTGAGAATTGGTAGATCTCATCTGGAAAAATAAACATGCCAGTAAACTTACTATGGACAACAGTATGACTCCCCATGAAACTGACAGACACAGGACACACACTTGGATACATGATGGCTAACGCACTCTCCTCCAACTCCAAAAGCAAATTACCAAAGTGTTTTCAAAATACTTCATTGCCTTTCAAAATACTATTCCACTTGGCAAATAAATCCCGAGAGTAACAATAGGTTTTGTGTCTAGCATACTCGACTCAATAAAAATCTTAAAAGCATAGGTGGCAGACAAACTAGATTCTGGAAACTACAGGAATGGTTAAATTAAGTGGACTCTTCAGTTTTGAATACCCAGTAGATGTTAATAATAGTAGCCATTAAACTTTTCAGTGTTTATGACATATATCTTTCATGTTTAATATACAAAATTGTATATGCTATATTAGTGCAATGGTGTGCCAAAAGACTAGTGGAAATAAAAATCTAACTGCCACAAAATGTTGATAGTAAGTTTAGCAAAAAAAAAAAAGATGACAGGGTAGCAGCGCTTTTCATATTTTCCTTTATTTCCCCAAGTTTCTTTCATGACTACATTCTGTCCACAATAGAAAAATAAATGTGAAAACTGTATGGGATTTAATCTTCTAATGCTGAGGAGCGGGTACACAATGCTCATTGTTGTATGTATTTTCAAATTTTGTAGAAACGAGTTGGATACTTGCTAGTCATCTCTTCAGATTTTTAGTAGTGCGGTATAAGAGAGTTCCAGCGTTGGGAAAGTTTGAAAAACACTGAATAAGAAGCTTTTGATTGACAGAGGTATTTTTCAGAGCCTCCAGCCTTAGCCGAATTTTTAAACCACTGAACATTGTTTTCCTGATTATCTTGTGGTCTTAGTATTTCTAGAACATACTTTAAGAAACTCTGTCAGTCACTGCTTTTTCTATTTTTTTTTTTTCTAAATACTCTATTTTCACATTTGGTTCCAATGTTCAGTGCTTTACCTCGTGTTCCTCATACATCCATGAAAAGGAAACTTCTTTTTAAAAAAAAATTTATTCTTATTGCAAAGTCAGATATAGAGAGGAGGAAAGACTGAAAGGAAAATCTGTCCAATGATTCACTCCCCAAGTGACAGCAACGACCAGAGCTACGCCGATCCAAAGCCAGGAGCCAGGAACTTCCTCCAGGTCTGCCACACAGGTGCAGGATCCCAAGGCTTTGGGCTGTCTTCGGCTGCTTTCCCAGGCCACACAAGCAGGGAATTGTATGGGAAGTGGGGCCACCGTGATTAGAACCAGTGCCCGTATGGGATCCCAGCATGTGTAAAACGAGGACTTTAGCGGCTAGGCCACTGCACCGAGCCCAAAAAGGAAACTTCTAGCACTTGCATGTTCTGAACTGTGTCCCCAGTATCTTCTGTCTTGTGACTCTCATGTGGATATATAGTCTTACATTTAAATAAATTGTCTCATATTTAAGGCATTCATTTCTTCTTACTGTGGGCCTTTCATAAAACCACTTTTTTTTTTTTCCAAAAAAAATCCTAGAAAGGGAAACACTCCTGGTAGGAGGATTTAACTGAGCAGCTGCTTTGAGAAATATCTGGCAGTATCTGAAATTATCAAGTGTACGCTAACCCCAGCTCTGCTACTCTGGGTATCTGCCCCAGAAAAACACTTGGTGCCCAAGAAAGTACACAAAATCATGTGCACTAGACGCAGTGTTGATTCATAGTAAAATTGGAAATAACTTAAGTGTTTACAAATGTCTGACTCATTCTGTAAGGTCTGTGTTGTTGATTGAAAAGGGCAAGATGCTGATAAGTGAAGTATGACTCCTTGTATCTAAACGTTCATTGTAATGTACCTCCCACAGCGTGTAGGAGGCCTGTGACTATAAACATTCAGTGCCTGGCAGGATGGGACCTGAGAGCAGGGCTCACAGACAGCTTTACCTTTATCCATACTGTTCCAGTTTTAATATGCAGAAAATATGCCTGCTTTATGTAATCAAAAATAAAACCCTGGACCCAGCGCGGTGACCTAACAGCTAAAGTCCTCGCCCTGAATGCGCCAGGATCCCATATGGGCGCCAGTTCACATCCCGGCAGCCCCAATTCCCATCCAGCTCCCTGCTTGTGGCCTGGGAAAGCAGTTGAGGACGGCCCAAAGCCTTGAGACCCTGCACCCATGCAAGAAACCTGGAGGATGGTCCTGGCTTCTGGCTTCGGTTTGGCGCAGCACCGGCCGTTGCACCCACTTGGGGAGTAAATCATCGGACAGAAGATCTTCGTCTCTGTCTCTCCTCTTCTCTGTATATCTGACTTTGTAATAAAAATAAAATAAATCTTTTTTTAAAAAAGAAAAAGAAAAGGTAGCACATAATTAAAAAAAAAAAAATGAAACCCTCACCATTGATTTCCTTCTTTTGTCACAACCCTAGCCTATTTAATCATTCGTTCAGAAACAGTCTCCTAATCTGCCATTCATCCATTCATGAAAGATAATCTAAAATGTGTGTTGGCTATGACTACTGTGTATGTTTTTTGCCGTAGTCACCACCTACTTGGTTGTCCCTATCCGTTTTCTGTTTCCTCTGTAGTATCCAGTGGTCCACACTGCAGGCTCCTCTGGCTTCCAGCGCCACCGTCCCCTTTGGGTTTTGAACCCCAGGGCTGTTGCCACCGTAATCTCAGTGCTGCCTCCTAGTAGGCATTTCAGAAATATCTAGAAGCGCATTGCAAGTCATTGATTACAATCCAGTGTCTTACATGGATATCCTCTGAGCTTGAAATTTGTGTTTTGAACAGGAAAGCTGATGACAAGATACAGTATGTTTGGAATGAAAATACCCAGGTGAAACCCAGGTATTATCACATTATCCCTGTGTTGTTTTCTGCTAGTTTCTTAACTTCTTTTAGTTTCAGTTTCTTCATTTTTTAAGAAAAAAATGATATGTATCTCACAGCATCGTCTTGAGGATTGAATGCTACCATGACAGCCCCATGGAGAAAATAATCTCAGCTAGTAAGTGAAATACCAAAGTTTTTATTTGCAAAAATTATTTTAACCACCTTTCTGCGCAGTAGGGGCCCTGCCTAGAACTGTGAATTGCATTCTGTTTAGTATTGCCTGCTGCAGCACTGTCCCCTGCATCCCTCTGCGCACATGTGTATCTCTTTGGCTAATACTGTAACGATGCCTCCAATTCCATAGGGGTCACAGCTTAGAAAAGCAGCCAGCCATGGTTTCCTGTGTCCTCATAATAATATTAGGGAACAATGAAAAATGAGGAGATTACACTGATCTTAGGAATCAAAATTTGAAAAGACTGATGTTTTCTTAGTTGACCCAAACTAACACAGTTTACATTCCAGCCAAGGTCTTCCCGCTGGATATTCACTGTGGTCCCTGGGAGGCAGCCACCTCCCTGTGCTTGGATCCTCTTGTTTGGGGAGAGGCTCTTACTGTTACCTTCAGCCCACTCAGGGACTAAATATATATTCCTTCCACATCCTCCATCGGAAAGCATCAGCTCAGTGCTTGGTTCATTTAGGTTTTCAGTTGTTGCCTCACAGGCAACTGCGGGCTTTTGAAACTCACAGCGTGTCAGTAGAGGGAAGGAGACACTTCCTGTCTTGTGTTCTAGCAGCGATATTAGCTAGTACAGTGATATCTCCATTGAGGGAAGTAATGAGATTTTATATCTTTAACTTGATATTATTTTCTACATAGTCTTTGTGAAAACTAAGCTTATTCTAAATGATAATATAGTTTTGAGATTGAATTCAATACCCTACTAACATTTTTTATATATTTTACATATATATTTTTTAAATATCTTTATAATAGCAAGTCTTCATTCTTAAAGGAAAAATTCATTTTTAGAAAAGACCTAAAGTTGCCAGAACCAGATGTGGTAAAAATTATTAAGCAGAGCTGTCTTGTTTGTGATTGAAAGTATTTCCATCAAAACAAGTAAAATCAACGTTCTTGCATAGTTCAAACGATGATGATGAAAACAGTTTCATTTAAAAAAGCAGTAGCAGCATTGTTCAAATGAGTGTCATTTTCTGAGCCCAGCATGGTAGCCTAGTGGCTAAATCCTCATCTTGCATGATCCAGGATCCCAAATAGACACCAGTTTGTGTCCCAGCTGCTCTACTTCCCATCCAGCTCCCTGCTTGCACCCTGGGAAAGCAGTCGAGGACGGCCCAAAGCCTTGGGACCCTGTACCCGCGTGGGACCCGGAGGAGGCTCCTGGCACCTGCTTTGGATGGGCTCAGCTCCGGCCATTCTGGCCACTTAGGGAGTGAATCAGTGGATGGAAGCTATTTCTCTCTTTGTCTTGTGTGTAAACCTGACTTTCCAATTAAAAAAAAAAAAAAAAAAGATAGTGCCATTTTCCCAGGTAAGTATAATAGGTTTCTACAAGTAAACTCCATTTAGTCTTATATGTAATGTATTGAGTTTTAAACTGAAGAATCTGTCTCCCACACCTTGCTTATCTCCTGAAAGCGTGTTTTGTGAGCTAGCACCTACTCCTCAAGTAAGGCTATCATTTTAAACAAGGGCTTTTTTTGTTTGTTTTTTTCTTAGGATGGAGGGACATGAAAAGCATAGATACTTTCTCTTCTGAAAAGAAGAATTACTTTTCCTATTAAAATTTGTAAAGAACTTTCAAAATGATGTATTCTTCCCTTTCTCAGGGATTATTCCTTCACAGAGCGGATGATGACTTCCTATCTTCAGTACCAGGCTCTCATGCATTCCTTGTGGGCCACCATGAGATGGCCACAGTGCTGTTCTTTCTCGCTGATGCAAGCATCGCATGCCTTCTTGGTCTCCACGGAGGACCAGCAGGGCTTCAGCGGGTCCTGCTGAGGCGTGTGTAGGGCAGGCCTTGCAACCACCACACCTGGCCTCCAGGCTTCGTTCTTAGGAGCCTTTGTTGTAAATGAATCTATACACAGTTCTTAAGTCATGGTCCTGTTGATGTTGATGACATACAAAGCTATGACTCTGCAAGGTATTTTGCTTAGGAATACAGTG